TCCATTCGAATTTCAATTTGAAATAGAAGCAAGAAAAAAAAGCAAGAAATCTGATGAATTTCCTCTTCGAAGAACCAGAACAAAGAATGTATCAACTATTGAAATAGACCAATATCGAAAATCGTAATACACAGATATGGTAACTGGTACTCACCTTAGAAATTTATTCACACCAGTTCACGCTGATATTTCAAATCACTGAAATAATACTGTTGTAGAACAGAGATTTTCTTTTTTCTATGGTGAATTAGGTATTATACACAAAATTTATAAACTACGGAACACGTCCCTAACGAACACTTGACCCCAATCTAAAAAATGACCATTTTTTTCAGCTCAAGAATATTTTTGACATATTGACGTTTCGATCCTTTGATCAGAAATCAGTTTACTGCTCTGATCCAAATCATATACGTATCCAAATAGTTATCGGTCGGTAATATGTTTCCTGTAAATATGGATTGTAACCAGGATGAGCTTAGCGAGATTTACCCACGTCAAGTATGTTCATCAAAGGTTTATCAGAGTAGGCGCACTCGAGAAACTTGCAAACGACCTTCAATAGGAAGCAAACGCACCAGTTAAATTTCTATACATCTCTGACACATCCATATTGGTTTGACAAGTTTCGTATTATTTTTTTCCTACGTCGGCATCAACGCCTATATTGGTCGATATCGTTACCTATAGAGACAGAAGTTGGTCCCGCTTTGAGGACACCTATGATTCATATATGAGTAGTAAATATATGCTTATTTCCAACGTACCGTCATGGCCGTAATTTTGCCATGTTCTTCGATACGTCGAATATAAGATGACGTCAGTTCTTATGTTGTTTTTTAATTGGTCAGATAATCTTCCATTCCCACTCATTAGGCAAGGTTGTCAAGTCACCAATTATAATAGTTGTTTGAGCCTTTACCAAACAGTAGGAAGCGATGATATTATAGTTATTAATTTGTGACTGTTTCGAGCAACCAGCTGTCAAAATATGTCTCATAGTCCATACCATGACATCATGTGAACGCTGACTAGGCTATAGAGACTTGGCAAAGTTCTGCTAAACGCTGATAACTGACAAGACAATGCACACAATCCTGTGATGTCACGTTCACCGGATCAAATATCTCCTGTCAGTTATTATCTCCTGTCAGTTACGTTATCAAGTTAGAATTATTGCAGTTACACTTTTGCTCCACCTTTTTCCAACATTCCTTTTTTGGATTTACAGTATGTACGATGGTGTTGTACCGACATTTCTGAAACAATATTATATAATATTTATATTATACATGTTCTTCCACAAATTGTAAACGAACTTCACAACTAATCCACAATCCACATTTAACTCAGATTGAACCAATATTCGACCAATATAATCATTCCAATATTTTATTTTCAATATAGCTACTCTCATGTTGGACCAATACTATTTTTACATTCACGATATATCTGGGCCCAATATAAAGTCTGGATTTAGCCATATTTAGCCAATTCGACGTGCTACCTGGGATAATTCTAGAAATATTTCCCAATAAGTTCCCGCTATGACACTCAGTGAGGTATCAAATTTTAATCATCTATCCAAGCAACAATTCGGAAAATTCAAAAATCTTCATCGTTGAGATTACAAGTTAGTCTTCCATCATAACATAACGAGCAGTATTATCAGTTTCCAATTTCATATCGAATTTTCTTATAATGATTTAAAATAATAGTACAAATGCAACTGAATTGAGGTAGGAGAATTAGGTAATCGTGTTTGTATTTGTATTTATTTCGAGTGAGTAGATATATACGAGGATCGATTCACTGAATACCCACGTACTATTTGCTCACTCATTAATATTCCATTATGTTTAATTTCCTTCTTAATGAGTTTTCAAGAGGAATGTTTGAGTTTCTCCTGCTGAATGCCAAGTGAAATAAAACTTGTTTTTCAGTTTTCCAATTACAAGCAGTAATACACAGAGTCTATTTCCAGTTCATAATGTTCCTTTTCTGAACTAAAAGCTGTAAAACAGTTGTTGTTGGGGATTCACCCTTCCCTTCCTCATTCTTCAAAGAGTTATTTGTAAATACGGGCTTTAAATCTTCCTGGGATCCCTTGAAAGTTATTCTGTTTTGTAATGTGTTTGTCGACCCTGATGTTGATGCCATTGAAAATATAGGAAATCTGTGGAAACACCTCTTCTTGACGTTAAGAACTGACTTGATACAATGAGGAAAAAGCGCCCATTGAATTCTCTTGTTATGTCTGAGTTCAATTCCTAAACATATTCACTGAAAATAGTTGCCACAACTAGAGGTGTTATATTGGGAGTATATCAAATAACTCCATTGGACTTCCTGTAATGACAATGTTGTCTAAACCTATGATAATTAAGACAGACTAGTGAATTTCGATTATATTACCGTAACTTGTTATCGAATTACACTTATACGTAAGATGAATAATGATCGTTGACGAATGTGTCTCGAGTACAAACGAACAAGGGCAACCACGACACACATACAAAAACCACGCGTGCACCTCGTGAAAGTCATCAGAATTGAGTCGTTATGTCACCTCTTGTATCGTGCAAAAATCATGAGATAACGAAACATAACGACTAAACGACACGGATTGAAGTCACATGAAACCTCAGGCTATTCTTATGGAACATTATAAGACTGAACCTTTGAATTACAATTTTGAAGACTTGTGACACTGTAACAGAACTCCACAGATTTGTCCATGAACAAACTGATAGATTCACCGTCATAGGTTACCCTGTTAATGAAATCAAGTACTTTTTTTTCACATTCTGAAGTGTATTTTTCCTCAAGTGCAATCTTAATATGACAAATAATTATTACGAGTCAATTTGAAAAAAATAAGTTGTTACAGATTTAAGCTAACAAGATCCTCGAAGTCTACAGCTACGCTTTGGTTCATGATGGGCTGGCCATGCAGTGTAGACTATTTCTGAGGACCTCGTATCCACCGAGAAGTCTTGTTGATCTTTGAATGGCTTTTTTTTTGGGCTTCCTCTTCTCCTAGTTCTTGGCTTAGTAGATGAGTCTGAATTTGACGATCCAACATGCCCATCTTTCGGAATATGTTGGTTGGTACATAGATCAGAAGCACACATTTTCCTGGAATCGTCAAGTTTGGTATTCGAAGAGCAGCCATCTCTTGTGGAAGTAGTGACTGCTACAACTTGGGTATTTCCTTGATAGGATAGAATAGTACATGAATTCACGTGACATGATTTTCATATCTCAATCTTTACTGTGGATGAATTATTCACCCTGATGAATTTTCTTCTTTAAAGCCTCATTGATGGTCTCACTCGATATTCTCTTTTTTCTTCGCCAGTTTTTATGGATATTACTCTTTGAGTAACTAATATCATTGTTGATATTACTATTCACTCCATTCCAGATTGTGCGGACTTGAATAATAGCACTGTGAGAAAATCCTATCATGAGTTACATTTTGAACAATCATTCTAGAACAAATTGATAGATATATGTTTGCAGGTTTTCTTGTTAATGGAATCAAGCATGATTTTCATGTCATATTCTCTATACTGTGTATGAAGCATTCACCCTGATGAATTTCCTTTCGCAACACCTCAATGATGGTCTCAAACAATAGTCTTTCTTTTCCTCTCCCAGTTTTTATGGATATTACCCTTCAAGTGATTATTATTATTGTTGTTTAAATAACTATTCACATTACTCAAGGACCTCAAGGTTATGCTGACTTGTACATTGTAACAGAACTATTTATATCGATTGAGTGGGAGATATCTTGAACAATCATCCAAGGATGTAGATGGTAGATGTATATCTACACAAAAATATTTCATGAAAATCATACACAAATTGGAAACGTATTATCTAACCGAGAAATTATACGATGAAACACAAATGCTTGACCTGAAACAACTCTACTTCCTTCAGTCAACGATACATACTTACAAAAACAAAAATAATACTATTCTGGAAACACTAGACCATACCTACCAAACCAGGCAACAAAACCGACTACATGTGGAAACATCAGCGCCAAAAACAAATATTGATCAGCGAAGTCACACGACGTACCTTTGTCGTGAAATTTTCAATTATATACCTGAAACTCTGAGTAAACAAATAACCATGTCAAATTCTATCACTCTCATAAAATAACGAACGAAAAAATATATACTAAGTCTGCAGAGACGATATATACATGTAATTTCAAATTCCAAATGAACATAATGTACTATATTATACTATAAGAAAATAAACTCTCATCATGCAGTCAGTCAATTTACTCAAGGAAGAAATAGTGATCATTATAAATAGCATAATCAATATTATACTTACCATCAATCCAATCAAGCCATCAGTATACCAATACTGGATTCTTATGCACAACCTCAAGTTTCAATGGGATTCATGTTTGTTTACTTGTTTTTGAATTATTGATTTATATACACAACAATTGACGCTGTTCTATTATTCATTATATCTGTGCGAATGGAAATTATTCATTTGTACTTACTTGTTGATTGTAAGAAATTGGTAGATATATCTTTGCAGGGTTGTTTTTCAATGAAATCAAGTACGGAGTGATATAATTTTCATGTCATAACTGTTCTCTACTGTGTAAGAAATATACACCCTTTTCAAACCTCAATGATGTGGTCTTACTCACAATCCTCTTTTTCTTCTGCTCTTCCAGTTTTCATGGATATTACTCTGCGAGTATTCAATATCCCAGTTGATATCATTGTTAATATGACTATTCACTTTATTATGGGTTATCGTAGCACTGTAACAGAACCCTGTCAATAAAACTAGAGACATTTTGAACAACAATTCGAGAACAAATTGGTAGATGTACCTGTGCTGGCCTGTTGGTTGATGAAATCAAGTACTTCAATTCACGTGACATATTCGCTACTGTGTTAAGATCATGAACCCTGAATGCCCCACTTGAGGGCAAAATAAAGCGGCCTACTCACCGAGTTCTTGCGGCCTCTTGTTCGGAATCCACTGGTAGATTGGCGTCGGTTTCTCGTTAAAAAACCACTTGACCACCAGTCCGTCCACCAAGGACTCTTCCACCGTGTAATCGCAATCTAGAACTAGAGGATCTCCTAATTGGGCTACTTCGGGAACTTGCAGCCTGTTGATTTTCACGGTTCGACCCGCATCCAATATACCTGAAAAAAAAAAAAGGAACTGATGGGAATTCGAGAAAATCAAACAACGCAGCGTTGAATGTCGTTAGTTCAAGCAGATATTGATAATAGTGCTACATTTGGTGGAGTGTGCGAACAAGTAGGTTTAAGGTAGCCTGTACACACTTGTGCTTAGTGTAGCCTAGTAGGAATATTGCGTCATTGTCGAAAGATAATATCCGATGGACCACACGAGTCATACACTCGTCCATCGGCTCGATGTTCGATGTACATCGGATATTATCTTTCGGAAATATATTTTCGGAAATATGGACGTTCTGCCACTAACTTAGATCAGGAGACGTTGTGGCAGAAAGAGAAACATTTATTGTCTCATACACGGAAAGAAAGGAATTGTTGGATCAAGCAAAATTTAATTGAATGATAAAAGTGTCATATAGACTGTAGAAAATTCCTCTGAGTGAATGCATATGTGGTTGTGAGTGAATTTACTGATTGAAATTCTTGAGTGAATTCTCAACTCAAACTAGATATTTCATCAAGTTTTCATATCAATGAGAATGTTTATAACAAATTTGATTGAATCGGTTCATGAATTACCATTTTATACAGTCAAGTAGGGTGAAATTTCAACTCAATCGGGCGTGGACCGAAATTGACTCATTATTGCGTGGACCTTGAGTGAAATTTCACTCAATTTTTTTTTCAGTGATGCAATATACCAGAAAAAAAAAAGGAACTGATGTGAATTCGAGAAAATCAAACAACGCAGCGTTGAATGTCGTTAGTTCAAGCAGATATTGATATAGTGAGTTATGAGTTCTATAAATATTCAATAGCCACGGCAAGCCAAATTAATAGTGCTACTTTTATGGTGGAGTGTGCGAACAAGTAGATTCAAGGTAGCCTGTACACACTTGTGCTTAGTGTAGCCTAGTAGGAATATTTCGTCCCTGTCGAAAGATAATATCCGATGAACCACACGAGTCTTACACTCGTCCATCGGCTCGATGTTCGATGTACATCGGATATTATCTTTCGGAAATATATTTTCGGAAATATGGACGCCCTGCCACTAACTTAGATCAGGAGACGTTGAGGCTGAAAGAGTAACATTTGTTTTCTCCTATATGATGATCAAGTCATCAGCGGTTCTATGGAACTAATTTTCAGGCTGATATTCCAAACAATGAATACCATTTGGTCAAAATTCAACCAAAATCGGACAAAAATTAAACAAGATACAGGGCGAACAAAAAAAATGGTTAGTTCAATAAGATACCTGGATGTGTCTATACTAACCAGATGACTTTTTTTCGTAATATATTGGTGGGTTTAGATGTCATCTGGTACATAGATCATTATGAAAGATAATGCAATTGTGAAGGGGAGATTTTGGAAATGTGATAGTTTTGTGAGTAGGTATTCGGATCAGGGTTGGAATAAGTCATGAGTTTTATAAAAAAGTCAAAAAAGTCTGACTTTTCGAATTAATTCGGACTTTTATGAATTAATTCATTTGAGAACAAATCAAATTCTATTCACTTGAACAAAATACAAGAACATCGCAAAAACTGAGTTTCATTTCTGTTGAAAATCTCAAAGCGTGATAATAAATACTTGAAATATGCCATTTTTGCAATATGAACTGAGACTATTGATTGAATGAAAAATGATGTTTATGCAACTTGGATTACTCATTCACAATCTCCATTTCCATGCATTGCAAGAAATGTCCGGACATATTTATTTATATTGTGGTAATTTGTATTACTGGTTCAATTCTAGTGGTGACATGTTAGATTTTCCGAATTTCACGCATCATTAGATACACATTGGATCTTACTTTTCTTGCCTTTCTCATGGTTTCTTCTACTCAACTCTTGACCCAACTCAAAACTCGGTGAGAAGTAATACACAGAATCTATGACAAAAAGACATTGCAAGCCGGTAATTCCGATTCAGTGTTGAAAAGCCTACATATTATTTTTGCCGGAATTATGAATTGGAGCAATCTATTGCATGCAATGAAATATTGTAAACTGTAAAGCGGCTCTTAGAAAATTTTGTTTTCCGCGTGTGGTGCTTCACGGTTGTCAGTTGTCAGATGCCATCGGATATTTCATTTTAAACTAGTTCAAATTGAAGGTATTAATGCGATTTGTTCCCATTTGATGAATTTTGAATTAATTCATGACTTATTTGAAAAAAGTCATTTGAATTAATTCACGATTTAAATCACTGACTTAATTCATATGAATTAATTCGTGCCAACCCTGATTCGGAGGCTTCTGATTCTATCTTAATATTCAAAATTTTTTGAAAATCCCGACAAATTACACGATAGTCCAAATATTGCAGTTCTCCAAGATATTATATTGTAAATAAGATGACAGTAAGAAAATGCATAGTAATGGGTTGTTGGGGATGGGGTGTTGTTCAAATCTAACGGTTCTTTGATCGAGTCGGCAAATTTTTATAAAGGTGAAAATTCACGAAATGTTTTCTCTCTGTTCGGAAACAAAAATTTTTCGAGACACCAAAATTCCATTTCCTCCCATATATATTCTCGATCACTGTTTGCATTTCTTCTTCTGACCTTCTCGCAACTGTTATTGCTGAATCGTCTGCAAACATAGTAGCTATACCTACACTAATAACATTATGTGAGTCATTTGGCAATATTCAAAACAAAAACAGCTCTAAGACAGAACCCTGAGGAACTCCTAGTGAAGCCAGAAACTCATTTGAAAATTTATTGTCAATTTTCACTATCAGATGGCGATTTCCTAAGTAATGTTTCGATCCAATTCGATACCTCTAATACCAATGAAACAATAAAGCGATAAAAGCGACACAATATAATATAATAACAATAATCATAGATTCATTTATACATACATACACAAACACATAATTAATATATCCTTATGAATCGAACATTCTCATGTGATTATGAACAAACTAAGAAAAAAAATCATCAAAGAGAACTTTGATTTGATTAAAAACATTCAAACAGATCAATAATTAGTAGCAGATGGTATTATTTCTATCTATATAATAATCAGAAAAAAATTTTTTTGGTAATATCAGAATATATGTATACAGGGTGTCCCATAAGTAGAGGACCAAAAGAAGTGGGAGAGTAGGGGCGTTATTTCAAATCAAACTAATCGAATATGTGGTTATCCAATCGTTGATGGTTCAGAAGTTATTAATGTTTTTTCATCACTATGAGAATAATTAATCACAATAGAACTATGACTGTGATTTCCTCTATTACAAATTTCATCCACATGGATGCACTTTCACCAGAAATAATTTCATGACATGTATTACTTCTTATCAATCACGTGAGAAAAATGTTGTTTTCCTTGAGTTTTGTCATCGAATGAAATATTTAGGTCGATTTTCAAATGCCGCTGGCAGATTTGAAAGGTACCCCACAAAGATAACCATATATCCAATCATATGAAAAAGTTGCCCATTTGATACAGATTTCGAAATGGTATAACATATGGGGTTATTCAAAACAGTCTTTTTGTCATTAATTTTTTTCGAATGGGTCGCATTTTTCAGAAGAATTGAATAACTTTCGAACCATAAACAATCAGATAACAACATATACCGTTAGTTTGATTACAAATGACCCTCCTATACCACCCCACTTCTTTTTAGCCATTACTTATGGGACACCCTGTATATACACGCGAATAAATGTATAAGAAGAACAAGTGAAGTTTCACCTATAGGGACTATGATACTTTAATGTTCAACTAACATATTATTCAATGTCTCTATGAATCAATAGATGTATATATATCTGTTCTCGGAATACTTCCAATCCATTTGACTTATATCTTTTTTGAATAGGGTGATAGGATTATATGATTTCGAAGCAAGATGAGACTGCCATCTCTGTCCAATTGTTTTTTTAATTATTGGTAATAATGAATTATCATTTTAATCTGTGTCTAGTTGTATAAATGTGACTAATATATGAGTGCTATGACGTAGGCCATGAATGCCAATATTTTTCTATAAAGTATCACTAGGAAAAGTGTATTTTTCCGGAATATCATTCTCAATAGTCATTTTTGGGTGGTCTCTAATCGTTTCAGGTGTATATTGGTTGCACCACCCCAGCTTTCAATACCGTGAACCATATGTGATTTTGCCAATACAAAATACATACTTGTTTTGTGTAGACATAATCAATGAGTTGATTTGTTGCAGTTTAAACCGTTATATTCATTCTGAAATCAATCTGGCTGTCATTATCTCATAGACACATATTTCAAGAAAACTAAAGTAAAAGTGATATAAGACGATAATTTACGATATGAGTGTAATATTACGTTTCTTGTGAAGAGGAAAAACAATAGCTAATTCGAATATATCTGGGAAAGTACCTATTTCCAAGGACAGTCAAAGGAGGTAAAATTGAATATTGTAATGGCCTTCATTTCTGTGGCCCTTACGTTGGCGCTCTGTTCAGGACGGTGACTACTCGGGTATTAGGGGGAGGGGTCTCGGGCGCCAACTTGTTAATGAGGTAGTTTACTCCACCTGCTCTGCACAACATATTTTTTTACAGAGGCCCAAAGTAGCAACAGAGGAGACAGGTACAGGAGGAATAGCTACCTCGGTACCTACAGTTCAAACCAGGGGTCAATGTTATTGAATCGACCTGGAATCGATAAGGAGCCAAAGGAGTGTAGGCTTTAATTACAATCCCTGGGTTTAGCCTGGAATACTGGTTGCTATTTTTAGTCTGGGTAATTACAGGAACCAGAGCAAATATCTATCGGGTCGCTGGAATTAGGTTAGGTCTGGCAAATGATTTATCCAACCTATTCCATAAAGTCTACCTGGAGAATCGGAAACACAGTTCCAAACGAATTAAACAGATTCAACTCCTATTTATCTTTCATCTTCCTCAGCTGTTTCAATTGTCCAATATCGGAATTTTTGTGAGGTTAATTATATTTTCCTATTCATGTCAAAATTTCATCAACCAC